GGTGGTGGCACAAACAGTTATATGTGTACCGTGTACCCATCACTGCCTATCCTCTGTGATTGCTAGGATCAAAGTTTACGTGTGGGCGTGTGTGCGTACGTACGTGTGTGTGTGTGCGTGTGTGTGCGTGTGTGTGTGTGTGTCGTCCCGAATCGGTCGCCTAGGCCTCCCAGGCTAAGATCGCATGCGCGGAACATCTATATGCTGATGCCGCTAATTCGGAACATAATATGCCGCACATTCAACGACTGTCACTATAAACCCTAACCTAACCTAACGCCTAATTCTTTGGGCAATATTTGGTTCTATCGGACCTTCGTCTATAGGGCTGCATGCCTGCGGTAAATTCGCCCACACACGTCGCAGCAATATGCATACGAGGCCGCGCAGGGTGTTTTCCGCCGTAGCGGCTAGTCGCGAGTTGCATGAAATGCGCTTAAAATTAAAGTTTGAAAAATTAAAAACCTGTTATAGCATTACAACTAATACGTTTGAATGCCGATTTGTTTTTATGGGCTGAATCCCCGAGTTTTTTAAAATAAACAGCTGCCGCTTAAGAAGCCATCCAGCAGCCGGCAGCCTACAGCACAACAACGGCGGCATTGACGTACTGATGCTGTGCGGTGTGTGCTGTATCCTGCAGTCGCGGACTGTTCTTGCTGGGCAGTGGTAACAATGAACTACTGCTAAATGGGGCCGTTGGTCGTATCAGCGTTAACTACAGATATGCTACGCGCGCGAGGTACAATATGTAATGTGCACAAAAGTGTACCAGACTTGATACTCACAGCACAGACAGCGGTGTCACACGCCAACCTACACCAGATGCTAATCAGTACACCGTAGGCTAAACCCTCAAGCAAGCTGACTACGGACAGAAGAGCATCACGCGCAATGCCAGATGATAAAATAGCTAAACAAAAGACCGCTAATGCATATCGAATACACCAGCCGGCTGCCTGAAAATCTCCAGGCACGCCTCGACAATCATGTTGACTCGGGTTCACACACTAATTATGACTGCATATTATAGCTATGAACAGACGACAACGGACCCCATCTGCGAACGAGCACACTAGAACCATAACACACACCAGCACACCCACGAACACAGAAGCTATATTTACCCCTTCTCAAATGTCCACTTTTCGTAAATCACGCATGTGTGTTCCGTTGCGCGAGCCATATTTAGAGTGCTTGACTGTCCCCGTGATTCAGGTGTGACTGCTTCTTTCTGAACTACCTGCATCATAAAATCCTTAGCCACTATCTAGGCTATACAGGAAGTAAATCGCCGAGGCGACGACGCAAACCGCACATCAGCCTGGGTCATAACGCAAGGAACACACGCCCAAGTCAACGCAGGTAAGCTGAGATGATGATGATGAGATGATATTGATGAACGCATTATACGCGACCAACGTCAGCTAAGTGACACCTAGTTCTCATGTACCTGACGAATATCCCACCATTTGTTTAATTTTGTTTATTTTATTTTTTTAATCATTAACTTCATATATTAGCCTTATTGTGTCGTACGCTAGATATAAAAGGGGCGCACATCGCAAGTTGTCATATCAGTAAACGTTAATATAAATTTAAAAAATGTAATTAAAATATTTTTTTAGTTTAATTGTATATTATTAGCTGTAATAAATTTAACGTGCTAGTGGTGGTTAAATAGAGAAGTTAACCAGAACACACACACAAACACCACAACGTGCAACCAGGCGATTGAGTATGTGCTCTGGGCATAAGTTAGCGGTTTGGGTGCAAGAGGCGAGTCATACTGGAGAGCTACCAATGTAGCAGGACGTGCGACGTAGGCTGGCGTGCTGGTATGTCTCATAGGGAATACATGACTAGAAGATATTGGGCCGGCCGAGGGGAGGGAGGGAAGAGAGGAGAGCGAGTAACGCGCAACAAATGGAGACAACAGCAATGTTGTGCTCTGCGCTGTCGTAGAGACGTCCGGAAAAAGAGCAAACAGTCGCACCAGCGCTCGAAACAACGCTGTAGACCCAATGGCATGATATCTAGATTGCGATACTTGATCACCATTAAAGGAGTGTTACCCAAATTATTAATATGTCAATAAGGGTTAGTTATGTTCATACGTTAGGTTAGGGTTCAGGGCTTAGGGTTAGGATGATCAATCCATTTAATCATTAATCCCACACTCATTAAGTATCATAAAAAGTTTGGGAACAATAATCCTAATGGAGAGGCGTGTGGCCGACAATAAATAATGAAAATTGATATACCAACAGCAAACACACAGAGGCAGACCTCACACAGTATAGTTAGCGGCAATTGCACAATCAGGTGTGTAATTTTCACACGATGACATATTCTGGAAGGGTGGGTTACAATGAAATTTTCGCCATCTTAGCTAGCAGTAGATTCGAGTGTAGAGAGAATGTTATGGGAGGAGGGTAGGGAGAGGTAGGGAGATGGGAGGAGGGTAGACTGTAACAGGGGTGTTGTAGATCATTT